AAAAAATGCTGAGATATTCATGTGTGAGATATCTCAGCATTTTTTTGCTGTGCGTGAGATATTGTAAGATCAGCGTGAGCGTGAGATTTGGTCAAAATGCGTGAGTCTCACGGTCAATGCGTGAGTCTGTGAGAGTTGGCAGCCCGGCCTGTAATCATGGTGTAACTTTTTTTTGAAATTAACTTTATATTGCGTAGTGGCTGACTTGAAGACTGTCAATTCGCCCTCACTCGCTGCATTTATTTAATAATCGTAACATTTATGCAACACATGTAAATTTTTGATAGCGTAAATAAATTTCAAAATCTAAAATCTAAATCTAATCTAAGACTATAACTATAAGTAACCACACGCGGTTGAACAGTAATGTTGAATTGACATTTAATATGGAACCTTTTTCAAACACATGTAGTTCTGCTGACTCTTGTTCATCATAGTCGCCTTCTTTAACAACCCCTCCAAATGTGTATAATTTCTCGCAAACAGTGGTGGACGCGTGACTGTGTCGACCCCGCAATTTCTGACTGCTCTCATTTTGTATCCACGTTACATTAATGTTATTCGCAATAGGTGCCACATTTGGAATGACAGCTGTAATAGTTGATAACTCGCTGCTAAGTATAGGCATAATATCAAATAAAGTTTAACCAATTCTCGCAATAAACCGATAAATAACAAATAATCACAACAACACGCTTTGATGATCGCAAGTTCAGTTCACAACAAAAACCTAAAAACCGCGCGTAATGTCTCAGGATATAGATGGCGCTACCATACCAGAAGTAGATCATAAGGAACATTATCTGATTATTCTGATTATACCACTGATCTCTATAATATAATCGAGATATATATCGATTATATTATAGAGATCAGTGGATTATACATTAATTTTGTCATTATAACGCGTCCATAGTTATAAACAGTAAAATGCGTCCATAGGCAGCAGGCCTGAATAGAAGCATCGAACAGAAATTAATTAAAAATACTCACACTGTTTCGTCGCATACACAACATACACGGTTAGGGTTACGGACGGTGACGCTGTAAAGGGCATTGCAACCATGATAGTAGCTCCAAGAAACGGTATTGCTAGGGTTAGAATACCGTCCTATAGACAATCCGTCGCACAGCCTGGTCGGGCTACCATGATAGATATCATATAACATAGTGTTATATGATATCTATATGATTGCAACATAACTGCTCATCAAATTCAATCATACTCATATCCATTACATAAGAGAGTTGTCTCTTTATCAGTTTATGCTCTCGATGAAAACAAATTCAAACAAATTTATCGCAAAAAATCGTAAAAATTGTGAATTTATACAAAAAACGTTTTTTGTTATTTCTCAGAAACATTAAAGAGTTGGGACCTAAATTTTTGATAAGTTGTTCATAATATGAATTAAAAAAGGCTCCCTGGAATTTAAAAAAATGCTTTAATTTAGGAAATAAGTTGAAAAGATGTACGCAAATTTGTAGTGATTTTCAAAACGCAAACAATTTCGTAAACAAAAAGCCATAACTTATAAAATATAATTTTTTAAAGAAATTCTAGGGAGCGTTTTTTCCTTTGATATATATATATGTTAGCATTGAAACGTAACAATAAATTTTGGAGTCGGAGTTGGGAGTTTCGAGAAATAGCGTTTGAAAAATCAGCAACTTTGGCATTTCTAACAATGGAGATATTATAGCACTCTTCTAAATTTCCCATGATTGAAGCGCTGTGCTTTAGTGAAGTGACGTACTGATAGCTCGCGGGGATGTTGGAACTGTTTGTGAGGGTCACACTCAATACCGAGTTATAATATTTACAATATAGGTATATATACGATACTAGATAGTATATGCAGGGATATATAGTATATATAGTATATATATATTATAATATAAGGTAGGTGAGACTGCTATCTAGTATATAGTATTTATGATGGCAAGATTACTGCGGGTACATACTGAATTTCTAACGTTACGAGCGCATCGCTGCACCATGGTGTGCAAATCAAGGTGCAATCTAGTCAATAGAAGTGGGTAATTGAAATTTCGAACCAAAAACTCACGCTCCCAACCCCTAACCAGTATTCCTTGAATAACTATAGACTTTATGCTCTAGGCCCTATATCTGCCGCTCGAGAACTTTTGCCCAGCTCTATGATGCGAGATTTTTACAAAAGTTAGTCGATCACGTTTCAAACACAATGACAGTGTCAATGACACTGCTACGCTCACCCACAAAAAAAGCGACACAAATGAGTGAGTAAGAAGAGAGTCAGTTTTAAATTGAGCAACCATCGACGTACATTATAGAAAACGATTGCCATCTGTATATGGCAATAATAATTTATAAACAACAATGAATCACAATTTTGTGACCGTAGATGGCGCTATATCCGCTTTGTAGCGTGGCGCTTGAAATAAATACGTTAGTGCTGCGTTTCGACATGTTTTGTAATCTTTACTCTAATATAGACGTTTATCGGCCAGATGTGGAGAGGAAGAAATACCAATTTTGCATTAAAGATATTGTCAATGAAATCTTGTAAAACGAACCAGACGAGTGTGACACCACAGACTGTTTGTGTTTATATAATATGCTATATAATTGCCAAACCCTACCTAATTTGCATTTTTTTTTTTTAAATATCAAAACCCCTAGCCCTTATTTATTCACATACCAAAAATGAGCAAAATCCGTTGAACCTGAACTGACTAATAGCAATTCCCATTTTTGCCGTGGCTCGAAAGTACGTCGACTGGCGTGCTTCAAAATAGGACGTTCTAATATGGGAGCATAGCAGTAACAACTACACCCAATTTCAAACATGTGGGTCAAACGGTTCCTGAGTTATCGTTGACCGAAACCAAATGTTGACGGACGGACGGACGGACGGACGGACGGACGTACGACGGACGACGACCCATGGCAATAGCTCAACTTGACGATGTCAAGGTGAGCTAAAAATGGACAACCGGTCACCATGGCTACACCACTTGATGGAATGTCACAACTACACAATAAGACCCATTTTACTTCTAATGCTTTCTAGACGTCCACGATCGAGGCATCCAACTTGCGTGCATAATGCAAATTATTGTACTCTATAGTGCCGAATTTCACCGGAAAAAAAGCTAAAAGGGCCTTTTCTAGAGACCAAATAGTGCAATTTGCAGAGACTTACTGTTGTATGCCTCCTATACGGTCATCGATATAGAATTCTATATCTATGGTACGGCTTCTTCCTGTACAATAGGAGAACACAGAGCGTAATGCTGCGAGCAAAGTAAATATTATAGCTCGGAAGCGCGCGTGCAGTCGGCCCGCCCGGCTGCAATTTGAACGTAGGTATAATAAGGACGACCGAAGAATTGACAGTCAACGGCAACTGAGGCCGGAGCGCCTTTTTCATGTACATAAGCATAGCGGGGAACCCAGGGCGTGATGCTGCGAGCAAAGTGAATATTATAGATCGGATTTTACCAAGCACACGTGCAGTCGGCCCGCCCGGCGCCACTTTAAACGTATAAAAGCGGTCGAAGAAAATTCTCTTGGCAGTCAACGTTGACCGACGCATGCGCACGAGCGCCATCTTCCTGTACATCAATATAAGCATATAACGAGAAACCCAAGGCGTGATGCTGCGAGCAAAGTGAATATTATAGTTCAAAATTTACCAAGCACACGTGATTTCGGCCCGCCTGTCTCCACTTTGAACGTATATAAGAACGGCAGAAGATATTCTCTTAACAGTCGACGGCGACCGACGTCGCAGCGCTCTTTTCATGCACACGAGCATAGCCGGGGAACCCAGAGCGTGATGCTGCTAGCAGTGAATACTATAGCTCGGATTTTATCAAGCCCACGTGCAGTCGGCCCGCCCGGCTCCACATTGAACGTGTAAGAACGGCCGAAGAAAATTCTCTTGGCTGTCAACGGTGACCGATGCGCGAGCGCCACCTTTCTGTACATTAATATAGGCACAGCGGGGAACACAGGGCGTGATGCTGCGAGCAGTGAATATCATATATATCTCGAGTTTTATTAGGGACACGTGCTGTCGGCCCGCCCGGCTCCACGTATAAGAACTGACGAAGAGAATTCTCTTGGCAGCCAACGGTGACCGACGCACGAGCGCCATCTTCCTCTACATTAAAAACGATGCTGAAACTTGATTGTTAAAAATGTTAAGCTTATTCCTTGACTGTAAGTGTAAGGCTTCGAATTACTTTCCTACGAGCACTCCGATCGTGAGAGAAACGAGAGTAGCATCATGCGTGACTGCCAGACTGTGTTTGAACACTGTAGAGAACATCTACAACATGCGTGTACATGTACAGCACACATAAAATGCTGTAGTCTGCATACATGTAAACTAATGGTTAGATCAGACTGTTCCTTACCACGCATCGAAATGTAAAGAAGCAAGATATAACGTAAGTAATGCAAATGTCATCTTCATTCTAAGTTTTATTATTTAAAAAAACTGAATTGGTAAACTACAGACAAACTCACACGCACGACTTTAAATTCACGATGCCAATTATACTAACACGCCCACTGCATGCGTCTCACCACTGCGCAGACCAACACTGGCGCTCCCTACAACTCACTGCCGCGCTCACCAACACAGACGCTCTCTGCATCTCACTCCTGCCTGGAGCAACACAGACGCTCTCTGCATCTCACTCCTGCCTGGAGCAACACAGACGCTCTCTGCATCTTACCACTACATGGAGCGACACTGGCACCTCTTACATCTCACAGCCGCGAGGAGTGACACCGGCGACCTCTACATGTCACAGCCGCGTGTACTTGTGCAGTTGCGACACACCAACACCAACCATTCATTCATTGATTATCATCGTCTTCTGCAGCTGTCACGCTCTATAGCGATAGTGACACACGCACTATTCTCAACTCTAGGGGATAAACATGATCCTGACTTACTAGCGGAAGCCACGGCTAACGCGGCAACCGATGTCTATCGTCCTCGGGGGTGCACCGATAAGCAATATCATACCCCGTACAGACTGCAAATTTGACATGGTATTAAACTGGTGCGGGTCAGGCGCACGCCAAATTTCATGAAGGATCAAATACGCAGTGCGTACACTACAATTTGGCGCCTGACACGCGCCAGTTTAATACCATATCAAATTTTGCAGTCTGTACGGGGTATTAACCTTCGTGCGATTCCATGTGTCTATTGCTCGCAGACCGATTCGACGTGTTCAACCGTCCAATTCCAACGTTGACAAACACCGGAGACGACGTTGTTGCCTAACCCCCCTTTGATCGGACGTATATTACTCGTTACACAAGTATTTACAAGCACGTTTCACGTTAGGTGCATTAGGTGCGTATATACCGCGGCAGCTATGTGCCAATTCCGAGCCTCACATTGCCTCTGATAAGGCAGAACACACGCGCGTGCACGCACACATACACATACACACAGATCACACGTGTGGGACATCACTAAGTTTCTGCCAGTGACCCTGTGTTTCAAGGGTAATATGTACTAACGACGAAACACCAGGGCCCGTTGCCAGAATGATCATAAACGATTATGACTATCGTAAGTCTGAAATGTCATACGTATTTGGTTTCTGACAACAGTCCTGAGAGACGGTGTGTGTGACACCAGATACGGTGTGACACCAAAGACAATGTGACACACATGATACGTGACGTCCCAGCTGACCGATACGAGACGAATTCATACGGGGGAACGAGTGGCCATAGATAGCGATGTCACACATCCCCTCGGAAGACCTCCGAACTACTCATCCTGGGATTGCAGGAACGTTGCTCGTCACGTTACCCCACGATTCTAGGTAGGGCTCATTACGTGCCCCCAAGAAATGCTCATCCTGTGCCCCCAGGAAATGCTCATCCTGTGCCCCCAGGAAATGCTCGTCCTGTGCCCCCAGGAAATGCTCATCCTGTGCCCCCAGGAAATGCTCATCCTGTGCCCCCAGGAAATGCTCATCCTGTGCCCCCAGGAATTGCTCGTCCCGTGACCAAGGAGGTGTTTGACCCGTGACCCCAAGAAGTGCTTTTCCTAATGACCCCAAGAAATGATTGTCCCACAATCCTAATAAGTCCAATATCCCCAACGAAGTGCTCATCTCTTGAACAAGGAAAGAGCTCATCCGGGGACCATAGGAAGAGCTTGTTGCATGACCCTAGGAGGTTCTCATCGCTTGACCCAACATCGCATCGTTCACATTAACACGTATTTGGTGATCGTACGTGCACCACGGCCGTCTTGCGGCGGAGGCAAAAAGAAATATTGTAAAAAAGTAGAAAAAATAGTTCCGTAGCATTCGTTTCCGCGTCGAGATAAAATCACTCTACATGGCATGTGTGCGGGTCGGGTGTATAGGTGGCGCTGACAACACGTGGTGCCACGGTGGCGTGGAATGCTTGCGGCGACGCAGAATGCGGCTGCCGCTATGTTTCGTGGTGGCGTTCTCACCTAACACGAGTAAAAAGGTGGCGCCACGCATCACACAATGCCCACGATCGCGCGCGGTAGCTGCGTCCGCTTGCCCCGCCTCATCTCGTTGACTCTGCCGCGAGCACCCCACGCTATTCGTGGATCCGCGAAAAGCTTTTGGCCTCGTTTTGTTACGGGTCGGAGGTATATCGGCTTCTCCTTTCAGGAAAGAAACGTGTGTGTTGTGCGTGCGAATGACATTGTAGGAACATCAATACGACCAAGTCTAATCATCGTCGAGTCCACCTTGCACAGAATTGCCATGATGAGCTCTCGTTTTATCTGTGTGCGTGTGTGTGCATGTGTGCGTGTCTGCGTGTGTGTGTATGTTGGGGGAATCAACTAATTATTCTTGCTCTCATCCTTGACTTTGGCTTCAGTGCCTGGCTCCTGCTTTACGGCTCGACTTGATTTGCCCTCAACTTCCTCAGTTCCCTCACATTCGCTCGTCTCTGTAAAAGAAAGCAACCTCACTGCCACACTGTGGTAATATACGCCGCATGTGGAGGCACACTTCACTGCCTGCTGCTCTTATAAGTGATATCGGAAAGTCCAGCTGTGGACATTTAGGTCATAGAAAAAGGGGGATAAAATTGCCGAGGTGCGCTTAGGAAAGTACATGATTAATGTAAACACTCGTGCGTTTTTAGTTTTTGCACTAACAGAAACATTGCAAAATATCCCAAATGACCACAATCATATTTGTAAATATTTCTGTAAACAGAAACGCACCTGTGAATTGAAGTACGATGTAACATTTGTTAGTGAAGAGAATTATAGATCAAAAACCTAGGCTAGTTCTATCCTAACTATGTTATATATAGGCAACTTATCACCCCTCTTATCTGATCTCAATATGGCGGCGGGGACTTTCCGGTATGGCTTATAGTAACAGGCTGGCCTCCTTATCAGAGTTGTTACTGTCGCTTGCATAAGAAGATAAAGATGATTTAAAACAGGGAAGGTCTTTAATGACCTGATCAGATTTTTTTTTATTAGTAGATTTCTGCTTAAACGCATGGCAGGTGTGAAATTATACTGAAATATAATGAGATGCTTTCTCAATCCTCTCAAATCGAGTGTGTAAGTATGCCCGAGTGCATGTGTGTGAGAAATTGATGATTTACAGACGACGAGTGAGATGGTACTCGCGTGGCGAGTGCAGGCATTCTTGCGCACGTGCAGTGCATGTGTGCGTGAGCGTGTGAGTAAGTGATTGAGCAAGTGAGTGCGTGAGTGAGTGAGCAAGTGAGTGTGCGAGTGAGCGATTGATTGAGTGAATGAGCGAGTGATTGAGTGAATGAGTGAGTGAGTGAGTGCGTGAGTGAGCGAGTGAGCGCACGAGTGAATGAGTAACTTAGTGAGCGAGCACGTAAGTGAATGAATGCGTGAGTGAGTGAGTGAATGAGCGATCGAGGGAGTGCGTGAGTAGACAAGTACGTGCCCGTGAGTGCCTCCCCCTCCACCCCCGCAAGACCTTCACGGCGAGACCTACCGACGGCGAGCGAGATGTTGCTGAGCAGCGTGGTGAGCGCGTGCCGACTCTGCGCGAGCGTGTCGTAGTACGTGTGCCGCTGGCCCTCGGCCTGCCGCTGCTGCTGCTCGACGCCCGCCAGCTTCTTCTGCGTCTTCTTCAGCTCGGCGGTGAGCGTGCGGCTCGCGTCCGTCTGCTCGCCGACGCTCGTCTGCAGACGCTCTGCAACGCACACACACAAGACACAGGTGTTGGTTAATGACTCACAGGTGGGCCTAACTTATGCACCATCACCAGCACAGGCACACACGGACACACAGGTGTTGGTTAACGACTCACAGGTGGGCCTAACTCACGCACTGGAATATGCTCTGTAATATACATGCTCAGAGATGCTGATAGCGATCACAAGCTACAAATAGGCAACGCACACACCGTTACCAGCATACGCTCTGTGATATACATGCTCAGAGATGCTGATAGCGATCACAAGCTACAAATAGGCAACGCACACACCGTTACCAGCATACGCTCTGTGATATATATGCTCACAGATGGTGGGCAACTCACAACCTGTGCTATAGCCAGCCAACCCTGGTGGCCTTGCACTCACTCCCTCTCACCCTCCTCCTTGTCCCTCTCTCCCCTGACTCTCTCCCCCTCCTCCCTGCTTCTCCTGACTCTCTCCCCCTCCTTCCTCCCTCCCTTGACTCTCTCCCCCCTCCTTCCTCCCTCCCCTGACTCTCTCCCCTCCTTCCTCGCTCACCGACTTCGTGCTCCCTGTCCTGTAGCTTCTCCTCGGTGGCCTTGCGGTTGCGTTCACTGCGCTCGAGCCGCTGTAGCAGGTTTTCGACGTCGAGCAGAGACCCGCGGTACATCACCCAGTTATCGGCGCCGGCGCCCGCAGCGGCGGCACCTCCCGCCTCGCCCACACGAGACTTTGAGGCAGAGGTCGCGGCCGAGGTCGGGTCGCCACCGCCAGCCATCGTCTGCTTCATCAGCAGAAGATTTCCTGTAATTATCATCGTCGTTATCAATATTTTCGGGAGTAAATAATAATGGGAACGATAAAGGTAAATAACGTCCCTATTGTTTACTCGTGGTATATTATTATTACCACTACTGTATTATCAATATTGTAATTATTACAATGATTATGTAATTATATTACAATAATTATTATGATTTTTTTCACATCATTGCATTGAGGAAATAACTTATCATTTTAATTATTATTATTAGAATAATCATCATTACAACAAGAGAATACTGTATCTCCCACCGCTAACATCACGCAGGCAAGATCAACAGGATTTCACCACACCTCGCATGCACATCCTCACTTCCTCATCTTAAATCACCGCACCCAGCACCACGCCACCCTGCGATGGAAAATCGCCTCACAAAATCAAGTGAGCGTACCGGCGGCGAGCTCCTCGACAGCCGTGTCGACGATCATCTCATCGTCGTCTCCGTTCTCTTTCGTTTCCGCGACGGCGTCCTTGCTGGAGCGTGGCTTGTCGGTGAGCTTGCGGTAGTTGAGTGTGTCGCGCGTGACCACCTTCAGCAGCAGACGCTTGATCTGCAGGCAACAGACCACAGCATTACTACCTTCCTCCCCTCCTCCCAAACTCCCTTGCCACCCACCTGAGCGCGTGACAGGTGCAGGCCCAGCATGTAGATGATGTCTTCAAGGTCCTTGTCTAGGAGGTAGCCGGTGTGGTTCCCCCTTCCCTTCCCCTCTCTCCTCCCTCCCTCCACTCTCCCCT